TAAAAGGAGAAGAGTGATGAATTTATTGTCTCATAGGAGGTAAAGAGGAGCTTTGATGAGAAGAACATTCAGATGCTGCAAGACGCTATGAGCAAGCTGGACCCTGAGGTGTGTGTGTGTGTCGGCCTAAAATAATTTATAGTCATTAAAAGCGGCCTGATCAGAAAGTTTCTCTGTGTGTTTGTTCTTGTTGTCTCAAACTGTTGTCACCATGTTTCTCTGTCTATAGGAAGGAAAATACCACCTGAAGAGGTGTATTGACTCTGGATTGTGGGTCCCTGATTCCAGAGGGGATGAGGATGGGGAGGAAGATGGGGACCAGGAAGAGGATTAATAATACTTTATTATAAATCTAGTCAATGTACCGACTGTGTGTTGTTATATAAGTGTTGTTTCTGGCTGCTTAGTTTTTAAATGTCTCCATGTTAAACTAAATCTAGTCAGTTAACTGCATATACATATACTGTGAAATGTGTATTGTATATTTTTTAATAAAGGGGTATTTGAAGATTAGTTTTAAAGAAGTATTTTTATGAATCAGTTCTTATTTTTGTTACTGACAGTATTGACAGATTTATCCCTGCTGTTAATCATCTTTAAAAAGCCAGTTCTCTCAAACACGTTAATACAATCAATGTTTTGAAACTCTATAGTTACTCAGGATGTACTTTTAGTTTCACAGTTGTAGCTAGGTCACGTTTCTCTGCAGCTTATAAAAACACTCTTCTCTCTCAGTATGAACGCTTCATGTCACCATCCATGTCAGGCGCAAAGAGCAATTTTTTCTGCTTGGTTGTGTCTGTTGTCCCACTGTGGTCAACAGCGCCACCTAAAGTCGTATTTGGGGAAAGATGACTGAGGCGGTGTGGTAGACAGCTTTTTTGTGATTGTTGAATCTTAAGTTCATTAAAGATGTAACTGTTAAATAATATATCAACAGAGAATGATCTGGACACATGCATATAATCTATATTATTTAGTTAAATTGAAATAAAGTTAATTCATTAATAGATGTGTCGATTGTTGCATTATTTTGATTTATTTATTTATTTTTATTCTTGCGAAACTTCATTAAATTTTTTTATGTTTTGGCAACATAGCTTTGATAAACTGTCGTGCCAGTGAAGCACCTTTGGACTGGATTAAATTTGAATTTAAATATCAAGCTAAAGGCACAAGTTAAATGAATAAAGCACAAAGAAAGATCCTGAACAAACACACATTTTATAGATTTATTCCAGTGACTGAAAAGGAAGTTACACTATATGTTACTTAAGCTCAACAAGCATTGAGTTTAGGTCATAAAAAAGTGTGCTGCTTTGAATTTAAAGAAAGACGTTTTACAGTGAGCAGGCTTATTATGCACTGATGACATCATATGAAATTTTAATACAAATAAATTTAAGTTTAGGTCTTTATAATTTCTGAGAACATCAGCAGACATCTGTGACGTGAATCCAACATCTTTGTTTTTAATCCTCTTTCTCCATCTTTACTTCACACAGTCTATCGCAGCTTGTGTAATACCCTTCATAGCATGACAGAGGGCACTTTGATGCTTCACTGTTATCCCACACCCCACCCAAAGTGACATCAGATGGACACACTGAAACAAGAAAAATAGAAAAAAATCACTTTAAAAATAAAGAAAAGTTTACTAGAACGTGTTTAAGCTGGTGTAAGTTTATCTTGCTACTACTATGAGTTTTCCAGTTTACAGTGACAGACACAAGACACAATATTTTACGCATATATGCTTGTTTTTATGACAGTGTATCATTGGTATGATGCACCTCATACCATAATACACCATATTATAAGTAAGTTGGGCCATATGCTGGCTCTTATTCAGCTATGTTTGAAACAATTCAGATTGAGCGCCTGAAAATCTGTGGAAACATTATCAGTTTATTGCTGCTTTTTGTGGGCTTTTGTGGTTAGGTGCGGACATTTCAGACTAAAACTGGCAACTGTTTTCATTTATGATCACAAAGCTGAACACAACATTGCTGCTTTGGACATATATTAAATAAACAGTTTGCTTGATCAACGATTTGATGTTGTAGTCATTAAAATGTTGAATAAAGTCTCCAGACCATTCAGATCATTTTCTCTTTATTGACAAACTGACATTTCAGCTCGGGTTTTGCTGCTTGTGTCCACTCTGGAGTTTCTTATGCTGTATTTGTGCCTGGAAGTCTCTCTTACAATAAACTGAGCTTAACTACTGTCCATTTATTTTTCTCTAAATGCTCTCTCTCTCTCTCTCTCGCTCCCTGCCACTTGCATAATTAATTGCTGGTTCACTCTCTCTCTCTCTCTCTCTCTCTCTCTCTCTCTCTCTCTCTCTCTCTCTCTCTCTTTCATAATTAATTGGTGGGTTTGATTTAGCGTTCTAAATCAATTTTTTCGAGGCAAAGCGTCTTTGCGCTGTCACTTTTGCAAATAGGGAACAATCAGTGCAGGTCCTGGGGAGGAATCAAATCTAGATAATGCCTATAAAAGCTGATGGGAGAATAACAGAACAGCAAGGCAGCGTCATGGGGAAAAAAAATGTTTGCGTGTGTGTGTGTGTGTGTGTGCGTGCGTGTGCGTGGACAATTTCTATTATTATTTGGCTGTAATGCTAACAAATCAGATCCTCTCTCAATGACAAAAGGCAGCACAGGTTTAGTATCTGCTCAAGCTATTCTACTCACAGTTTCTGTGAGTATCAGTGTCTGTCTGAAAAACTAAAACACTGGCTCAGTGTTTCTCCTTCCTGCTTGTCACGTGTGAATATTTGCTGCCTTAATTTGTCCTAGAACAAAAGGCATTGAATACCATGCATTGTGATGACACCTGGAAACCAATCTATCTATCTATCTATCTATCTATCTATCTATCTATCTATCTATCTATCTATCTATCTATCTATCTATCATCAAGACGTTTATTGCCATATATGCTGGAAAACACAGTGGTTATGCGGGCTCCTTTCACACCAATACATAACTTAAATAAACAAAAATAGAAAAATAATATGCACAAGAAAAATTAAATAAACAAAGCAAGTACTGTGCAGAAGGGTAGAGTGTATTCAGACTATAAAGTGTGATTGCTTATGCATACTATAACAATCTTATGATATAATATTGTACCTTACAATATATAGCAGCTGTTTGTTGGCTGGTGCTTTATAAATAAACCTTGGTTGAAAATTAAATAAATACAAAAAATACAGAAACAGTGTAATGAGAACTGTGCTGCATGCCCTTGAATGGCTGTAAAAATAGCAAAGAGGCGTGGGAGGAAAAAAGGAGAGATGAATGCTTATTGTGATCTGTGGGCTTTTTTTTTTTTATATATGAGTGGTTTGTTCCAATAAAAATGTGCCCTGTGTCGTGGGTGTGTGTGATGGAGAGCGATGAAACTGACTATTGAAACAGAGGAACAGTGTGTGGCTGCTAATAAGATGGAAAAAATAGAAATAGACAGGAGTACCGATGGAGAGAGGAGGAGAGGAGCGGAGAGTGTTGTATGGGATTAATGGACATACTGTGCGTCTGTGCAGGAGGAGGGAGAGGAGGGAAGATGGGCTTCTCCATGGAGGCGGTGGTGGGAGGGGGGGTGGCTGGGGGAGACCACTGAGGCAGGGGAGAGGGAGAGGAGAGAAAGGGAGGGAGGGGAGCTGGTAAAGCCGCGGATATTCATGAAAACAGCAAGTGTGTGTGTGTGTGTTTTTTTTCTTTCCCCCTCTAGCCGTGGCGATACACCGCTATGTCTACAGAAAAACAGAGGGAGCAAGGGCGAGAAGGAGAAGGCGACAAGTGAAAGCAAGAGGATTCGCAGCCCATCTTGCTGTTGATCTTCAGGCGATCAAGGTGAGTGTGGTTTTTTTTCCTACATCCTCCAGTCTGTGTGTGCCAGTGTATGTGGACATGTGTGTGTGTATGTGTGTGTGACACATGCCTCATGCAGTGTGTGCAAACAGTCATGACAGCAGGGGCATTCCTCATATGTGCATGTTTTCGGCATGTGCGCGCTCGCTTTATATATGTATTTGGGTGTTTTGTGAGAGAACAGCAGGCTGGTGGTTGAGCTGCATATTGATGCATAGCTGCTTGGTTTTATAAGCTGCTTTATCTGTAGTGGAGGTGGTATTGGTTTGCAGCTATTGCGTGTGTGTGTAAGGGCTCAAATGCCTTGATTGTCTGTGCATATATATGTCACTGTGTCACTATGCATTTGATGATTTCTCCTCTTTTGTTTTGGGTTTGTTTTTCTTTCGTTTTGTTTTTTTTTTTTACCCGTGTGAATCTGTGTGGACGCTGCTGTGTGGAAGACCCATCGCTGAGAGGGTGTGTTCATGGTGACCCTTGATGAAAGTCTTCTCCAGCAGCTCTCTATGTGTGTACCAGCTCCATCAGAAACACTCTGATATGCTGAATCTGTCCCATCCAATAGAATTAGGTCAGCTTGGACTGCTCAGAGTAATTATATAACATCAGAGAGCTTTTTGGTGTTGCAGTATCTGCTCAGAATTAGCCACACTGTAGGTACGGCTCCAGCGAGGCCAATCAAAACACGAGTTATTTACCAGTCAACCAGCCATGCCTTGAGAGTTTTGTTTGGAGGCTTTTTTTTCATATATGAAATTTGTATCATGGAAAACCACTCACATCTTCTGTAGTACTGTATACATGAGGACAAGTTTTTCCAATTTGATGATACATCAAATGAATTCACTGAAATAAGACAGGAAAGAGTATTTCTGTTTTGTTCTTGTTTTTTAAAGTCTGTACATACTAACTCTTAATTTCTGTTTTCTCACATTTTTTCCAGGATTGACTCTGGCAGATCAAACCAGGATGTTTGGACTTCTCAGATGAGGTCATGCTTGACACGTCTTCCTAAGCAGGATTTGGATCCAGACAATGACCAGTCATATTGTGGATGATTGACCTGAGAAAGGAGAGGACCAAATTTCTCTGTAATCTCTTTGGATTTTGGATTCTTAATTGTTGGGAAATTGCCTTCATGTGGAATCAGGTTAACAACTGGGGAACGTCATGCAGACAACTCTCAGAGCTGGATAGACGTTTTAGAGAAAGGGGTTTCCTTTGGCAACGGCATCATGAACCCTGACTGAGATGTTCATTGGCTCATCTGGCCAAAGCAAGACAACATGGAGTGACTTTTTTTCTTTCTTCTGCCTTTGACTTTGGAAAAGAGACAGATCCAAACAAAGGTCAGCGGCCTCGGTCTGAACCTGCAGCCTTTGAGGGCTGCGTAAATGCTCCTTTACTGTTCTCCGCCACGCTTTACTTCAACCACCTGAAGACTGAGGTGCAGAGGGAGCGCAAGTGAGGCGGTTGGCTGGCCAAATCCGCTCCAATGGGGGCCGGTTGTGACCCGGTCTGACCCCGGTTTGACCTTGCAGTGACCTCTGACCTCTCCGGTCCTGGCTCTCCACCTGCTCTGCTGCCTGGGTTCCGGAACGCTCCGCCCTGGGGCCCAGAACGAGCCAATCAGAATGAAGAAGAGCCGCAGCGTGCTGTCGGTGACTGGAGAAGAGGTGAGGAGGAAGATCTGAACAATCAGGGAAAATCTGCTAACCTTGTCACAGTCACAGAGACCGTAGATCTCTGTAGATAGATGTGTGTGTGTGTGTGTGTGTGTGTGTGTGTGTGTGTGTAACTTGAATGCCTACCATCACATAAACGCCCCATGACTTTCACACATCCAAGCTCTCTTTGTTCCCGCACACACTCAGAAGTCCGAGTGGACAGTTTGCATCCTCCAGCCTACACTCACCCAGCAGGAGCCACTCAGTCCCAGTCCTCTATGTAAATGAGCCGCAGCTAAGTGAGTGCTCTATGTAAATGAGTGATTTCCGTTTAAAGGTGAAGTCCTGGCTAAAGGACATAACAGCATGCATTAATCGGGAGCTCTTTTATTGATTATACATTTTGTTATGCGTCCATGTGTGTGCGTGTGTGTCCGTGCATGCGTGCGCGCGTGGATGCGAGCATCTCCCCACATCTGGGTCTGGATGACATCAAACACAGCATGGAAGCAACACGGCACTGTTGCCTAGCAACTGCTACCATTCCCCCAGTGTTTTGTTGCTACGGTACTGCAGTGCAGATCAGCCTCTAAGAGCTCAGTCTGTAGAGGCCCTATCCCAGACACACATGCACAGTCACACACACTTACATCAATAATTTATAGTCTGTGTTTCTGTACAAGTTTCTTCGCTCGTCATTGTTTGAATATGGCAAAACAACACAGCCTGGGACATGAGCCAAAACAGCAACTGCGTTCTTCCATTTTTGCTACTGAATGTGTTGGGTTTTTTAATCATTACACACGCAACACAGTGTTTTTGTGAAAGACACAATATGTTCTCTTTTAATCCTCTGAAAATGCACCTTCTTGTTCCATATCCCCGTTTCCCTTACCTGCCTCCCTTCTGTCTCTCAGGGAAATGACACAGATATAACAGGTGCTGGGGAGAAGGCGGAGTCATCTCGCTACAGCCGATCGTATACATCCGGGTCCACGCTGGGGGCTGAGTTACGCAGAGGGAGGAGCAGAAGACTCTCGCCAAGTCTCCAGGTATGGGAAGATGGAATGAGCATGTTAAAGTGGCAATCTGAATGGTTCCTGTCCCGTTGATTTGGTAACACCTGAAGTCACTGTTGATAGCAACAAACAGTTTAGCACAACAGGTCACTGAATTATAAGGACCACCTTGGTGAGCCACCAAGATCTGTCCCTTCTTCTTCTGTTACTTCAAACAATACTTCAAACTTATCTGAAGTTGAATAATGCAGAAAATGACCCTTTTCAGACATATAGACTGTAGTTAATAGATGAAAGCAGCTACCGTGAGTTCATCCACCGATTGTGGGCACCTGTCTTGAACCCTAGAAGGCTATAGCGATCCTGGTTTTATGAAGCCAAATTGTATCAGAGGACAGAGGTAATGATTGCAAGCTTAGCTGAATCTGTGCGAGAATTCTATAACAGCAAAGATGGTGGTCAAACTATAATTTCCAGGGAGGAAAAGCTTTTTAAAACTCTAGTTTGGAGCAAATACACCAAACCGTTTACGTATCTTTTAATCAGATGTGACCGGTGTTCCTGTACGAGCAGTTCTCATGTCCCGCTGATCAATGAAAACTGCCCCAAAAAGTTCCTAGACCAATTCACAATACTGATGAGAGACACCTGCTAATTAGTGCTAAGCAACATGCAAATAAAATAAAAGATTGCTGGACTGTGATTAAATGGGCTGCTGTGCAGATTATTAACCACACAGCAGTTTGTATAATTTGACACATAATTGCATTAAAATTTTCCTAAAGGCGCCAAGTGCACAAACATGGTCAAAGGGTTCAGTTCAGCAATAAATATCATGCAAAACTAATACATATGCTACGCTTTGTCTGCTCCGTGTTTTCTATGTAGGAAATTGTTTATAGGTTTATCACTTTGCAAGACGTTAAAATGTTAGTGTATTTACAACTTTCTCCTGCTGCCAAGGAAACAATAGGAAAAACTCAAAACAGCATTTTTGTGATAGCATTTCATGCTGAAATATTTTTACCTGACAAATAGATTTTGAAAATGTGGACTAGATGGGCAAATTTTGACCTCTCACACTGAAAATCACCAAAACTATTTACAACAAAAACTCATTCATTCATTTCACCCTAATCCTAAAATTTTAATCACACCCTGGTGTGCACCTGATTGTGAGGTATGTGCAGAATAAAAAGCACAGCCTTCCCGCTGCTCTAAATCTACTCTTGCCTCTGTATGATGTCAGTGACACTGACTGGTCATCTCATCAGCTAGGTGTACTAGCTTTAAGCACATAAGCTCCACCCACCTATTATTAAAACCTTGGTTAGGCAAGCTATGTCTCCCAAACAGTAGCTTTGCCCATAATTGTGCCTAGAATCACAGATCGTTGACTGATGTAATTGATTGAGTCACACCCATTGTGCCGGTGTTGTGCCAAAAAGTGATTGTCTGCCAAAAAGTGATTTCCGGTATTTGCCAAAAACTGATTGGTTGTATTTAAACTGCTAATAGTAACTTGTTGGGCTATAATATGTGAAACATATGTTAAACGCATCCCTCATGGATGACATAAAGTCATATTGAGCCACAAACAACATTCGTGTAACAAGGTAGAAGCCGCAATCAGTTTTTGGCAGTGACTTTTATATAACCTTTATTTATGCAGTTAAAAAAATCTCATTAACATTAAAAATGTATTTTGTCAGAGTAAGCTGGCCAAGAGGACAGCAGAATTGGCAGCAAATATGACAATAGTTCTGTAAAAATATTTTAAAAGAGGATAAAGGACCAGATTGGTTATAATGTAAGTATAATAACACAGAGCTCTAAAGATACTTGAAAAAACAGATAATTTTTTAATTCTATATATAACCCCCTTGTAAACGCTGTTCACCGAAGTCTATTTACCAACATACATAAAGATATTACACATAAAAAAATACACGGAAACATTGGAAATCAGTTTTTGGCAGGCAATCACTTTTTGGCACAACACCGGACTGAACCTACATTTTACCTCACCAGGTACCTTGCTGGCTGCGACCTCGAGATCGCACCCGGTCACCAGAAGTCCTGGGCAACGCGTCACGTCCCACAACTCTTCCCCTTCGTATCCCGCCTCGCATCTCCATCACACAAGCAGACTCTGACAGGTTCACACACATTTTAAGCCCTCGTCAAATCACCGATTTCATTTGGCAGAAAGCTTTCCTGTCGTTCTCTAATCACTGCTATCATGTTCCAGTTACGAAGCAGAAAATGGCGTGTCCCCAGGTCACACCCCTTTGGGCTCCCAGAGTCCGAGCCTCACGCTCCACACGACCTTCCCCCAGGGCCAGAGAAGAGAGTCCTTCCTGTACCGCTCCGACTCGGACTACGACATGTCACCCAAGACGGTCTCACGGAACTCCTCCCTCGCCAGCGAAGGGTGAGAGTCAGAGAGAGATGAGATTAGTGGTGACTTTATCCATGGCTGTATGAAATGTTGCACTCAGCTTTCTCTCTATTTTCCAACTCTTCCTGTCTTAGGCATACTGCAGAAGATTTTATTGTCACACCTTTTGCCCAAGTGAGTTTGACTTTATAGATTCATTTATCTTCATGAGTGGTCATAAAAACTGGTTCATACTGTTTCCAGTGTGCCCAGACACTCAATATAATTATAGGATTTGGAGGCGAAGTTTTTATTGAAACAGCAAAAATGATTGATCACGTTATTAAGCGTTCACCTCTCAGTAATATGTATACATCTGTGTAAGCTTGTTCTGTATTTATGCTGTTTTCCTGTGATGCTGTGCGATCATTGTAGGTATTGGCTAGTCTGCGATCGGTACGGAGCAACTTCACCATCCTTGCCAACGTCTCCACACCGACCGTCAAGTCAGTATCACCACCTGTTGTCCACAGAGTTTATGTTTCATAAGTTAAAAGACCATTTGTACGTTACAGGAGTTTATAAGACCTGTTATCAATTTAAAAAAAAAGGGATGTTAGGGAAAATGTAAATAAAGACAGAATGCAAAAGTAGTTCGGTGCAAGAAGGTTTTACTTATTTTATCAAACCACTGCATGTATTCCAACCATACAGTAGCTCAACATTGCTATAGGAAAGTAGCCGAGGTGCCTGATTTGACCAGCAGTGCCTTATAACATACATTTGAAAGCAAAAGTATGAAAAACTCCTCAGACAGTTACAGCTCAGTCACACGTGTTTAGCTTTATTTTGTATGGCATTTTTTATCTTCTATTCTTTGCCAAATGAACTTAAGTGTATTGTTTACATGATCGAAATAAATTAACGAACAAACAAACAAACAAAGTAGGACAGCAAGCTCCTTGCACCTTGGAAAAATCAGTAAAAACCTGTAAAAATGCAAGTTTGCAGAGCGCCTGTCATTTTGCAGTTAAATCGCTGCCCTGAAGCAGCTACGTCAGTGATTGTAGGTACGAGGTTCTGTACGTAGACAGCAAAAGATTTATTTTAACAAATTTCACATTTAATAGATGCACTACAAACAGACCCCAACTTGACCCTATTCAGTTGCAGACTGACTCCATCTTATTGTCGTTTTATTGCCACTTTGATGCAAAAACGTTGTTTTGAAGATGGTAACTGACTGCTCGTGGTCGCAGACCTGCTCCTTTCTTTAAAACAGCGAGGCGAGAAAGCTTCAGGTTTATTGTGTTTTGATGATTTTGGTCTTGCTGTAGTCTCCAACCACTGTTTCTGTCAGCGTCAAACAACTGAACTACAGTAACCAACAAGTACTGGAAGTCTGTTTCCTTACAGAGCATTGTTAAAAACATGTAATGTAACAGTTTTTAAAAAAAAAACAAAAAAAAAAACAACATGTTGCTTGCACCATATTCAAATTTTAGCAAGTTAAAAAAAAATTATTCTCAGTTTCAACATTTCAGATGTTGACTTTGTGCTGTTTCCAACTAAATGTATGCTCAAAATAACGTCCAAATTGTAGCATTCTGTTTTTATTTACAGTTTAGGTAGTATCCATGCTTAAAAAGCATGCAGTTTAACACTCATGCACACATTTGTGATTACAGATACTTGTACCTTTCTGTACATCACATCATTTCAGTTGTATTGATTTTATTGTTTTGTTCTTAGCCCAGAATACTCAAAACAAATACTACTATTACTACACTACTACGGCACATTATTATTTTCCACTTCTTACATTCATCCATGTTGGTCGAAGCTCTAAAATATCAAATATTAACTATTTCATGAATTTGATTCAGCTGAGTTTAATTTATCTCATATATTTACCACCAAGACTAACTTTAGGCAACACACTGACTGGGAGATTCAAACAGAAAACACATTTAAACACAACAGTAATACATTAATTTTAACATTAATAGATTATCAAGAACATGTGGATTGTACTGGGTTATTAAAAGCCTAATTATTTTACTACTCTGTGTGGGGTTTTTTTAGGAGGTCTCCTTTGGGTGGAGTGTGCGTCAGTCCTAGGGCGACACTATCAGACCAGCAGTACCAGCAGCTCGCCCTGGACACACTGGAGGAGCTGGACTGGTGCTTAGACCAGCTGGAGACCATCCAGACACACCGCTCTGTCAGCGAGATGGCCTCCAACAAGGTTT